CGCTCCCCGCAGCCCGGCGCCCCCTGCCGAGCCCCCCGCCCGCTCCCTGCAGCCCAGCGCCCCTGCTGCAATGGACTAAGGCATTGGGGGCCAGCTCCAACAGCTGACCGGCAGGCATGAGAGTCACCACCAGCTTGGGGTAGGCGATGTTGGAGCAGCCGACTTCAGTGCCACAGATCCGCTTGCAGTCCTCTGGCACCACGCAGGCCACCTCGTCTGGAGAGAAAACGGGGTCAGCGGGGCGACCCGGCCTGGAGGCAGGGGGCTAAGACATGGGGCAGCTGGGATCCCGCCAGCAGGAAGCAGCAGTGCCCAGCTGTCCCTGTCTCCTGGTGAGGTGAGGGGCACCGTACCTGGGTAAAGGATGCGGCTGATCATTCCTGGCATCACCATGAGGAACATTGGCAACAGCTTCAGGTACCCACAGAGGATGCAGCCGGCTTTGACATGGGTCAGGCTCTTGCCCGCTAGGCAACGCTGCACAATCACCTGTGAGCAGAGAATGCCCCAGTGAAAGTCCTCGTGCCCTGAGCCAGCCCGTCCCCCACCCTGGGGCTGGAGTGGAGCCGGCGCCCCCAGAGGGGAAAGGCCCCAGGCTCCATTCCCCGCCCCCATACCTGGTCACTGCACCAGTACCAGGTGGAGATGATGGTGAGGCCGAAGATTAGCGCTGGCCAGGGGAGGTCTCCGGTCAGGGGGTCGCGGAGGAGGTGGAAGGCGTCGGGGCGGGGCTGGTAGCAGGTGGCTGAGATGTTGTACAGGGCCGGGGCTGGAGAGAGGGTGTTGCTGGGAAAGGCCTCCAGGTACTTGTCAAAGAGCCCCTGGTAGCCCCCCACCTCGTGAAACGCTGCAAAGCAACCAACAGGGGCACTGTGACGAAGAGAGACCGTGGCAGCCCGCTCCCCACAGCCGGGAGAACGCGGGACTGGGAGCCCCTCCAATAGCCAGCACCCCAGCCCCGCTCCTTACAGCGCCCCCTGCTGGGGCTGGAGGCACCGGGGGCTTCCTTTCAGCTGCAATTCCTGCCCCTGTCCATGGGGGGAGCAGCGGGTGGGTCTCACTCACCAAAGCCCATGAGGACGAAGGCTCCCCCAATGATGACGAAGGTTTGCACGGTGTCGGTGTACATCAGGGCCGCCAGCCCCCCTGGGAGAGCAAGGAGGAGTGGGGTGAAAGGGTGCCCACCTGCGCTCCCCCGCCCCAGGCCCAGCTGGAGCAGCCCCTGGGCTCCCACCCCAGATGCGGCCCCGTTACCTGTCACGGTGTATATGGTGGTAATTACGAGCAGGGCAATGACAGCGACGTAGATATCCCAGCCCAGAGCCTGCTGGATAAACACAGCCCCCGAGAACATGTCCACCTACGGGGGGCGATACCGGGTGGGGGGTCTCAGCACGGGGCCGGTGTACACAGCACCCCCTGCTGGGAGTAGCCGGGAGCACCACCCACAGCCAGGGCTCCCGCCCCGGGGAAGAGGATTAATTACGTACTGAGATTTTAGTGAAGATGTAGAGAAAGAGGGACAGGATGGACAGATAGATCCGGATTCGCCGGCCCCCAAATCGCTTCTTCAGATACTGGGGCATCGTGATCACCTGCAGGTAAAGGGAGAACAGAATGGAACCCAGGAGTCCTGGCTCCCAGCCCCCCTGCTCTAACCCACCAAACCCCCCTCCCTTCCCAGAGCCGGGGAGAGAACCCAGGAGTCCTGGCTCCCAGCCCCCCCCCAGCTCTAACCCACCAGCCCCCCCGTCCCTTCCCAGAGCTGGGGAGAGAACCCAGGAGTCCTGGCTCCCAGCCCCCCTGCTCTAACCCACCAGAACCCCCTCCCCTCCCAGAGCTGGGGAGAGAACCCAGGAGTCCTGGCTCCCAGCCCCCCCGCCTATACCCAGTGTGATGCTCACCCCGGCAGTGAGGTAGACAGGTACGAAGAGCCATCCGAGGAGGAGAACCACGAAGAGAGCCTGGTGGGGAAAGCGGAGCGGGGTCAGGGAGGGGGAGATGGGGCAGGGAGGGGTAGGGGGTTATGGGCACTCGAAATCACTTACATTCCACTCGAAGCCAGCCACCGCCAGCCCATTGGCAGCACCAGTGCCAGCCAGCCCCACGAAGTGCCCACTGCCGATGTTACTGGCAAAGAGAGACGCGCCCACCTGCAGCACAGTACGAGGGAGAGGGACTGGGCATTGGATAGATGCACCAAGCATTGTCCCTAATGCCACCCCCTTCCCCTGGGCACTGCCCCAATGCCACCTCCTGCCCCCGGGCACTGCTCCAACACCACCCCCTGCCCTAGGCTCTGTCCCTAATGTCACCCCCTGCCCCCAGGCACTGCCCCCAATGCCACCCCCTGCCCCCAGTCACTGTCCCTAATGCCACCCTCTGCCCCTGGGCACTGCCCCTAACGCCACCCCCTGCCACTCAACTTCATCTCCTTGCTATGGTCCCCCTGATGTCAATCCCTTGCCCCCCCATCCTCACCCCAGCTGCTGCTAGGGTCAAGTATTAACCCTCTTCCCTAAACCCAGCTCTGAATCCATTCCCGAGATTGACGGTTAGCCCCATACACATCTATCTATCTATCTATCTATCTATCTATCCTGCCCCCATTGCAATACTCACCGGCCACCAGACCATGTTTCTACCAGCCAGGAAGTAACCCCCGATGGTGTTCCGGTTGGTGCGGCACATGGACTACAGGGGCGAGAGCGGGAGGAGGGCATTTTCCAGGGGCTGGATGCTGCGTTTCTCCACCAGCTCCAGAGATACCCAACCAGCTCCATCTCCCTCCATGGGGTGAGTCCCCCCCAGCTCTGGCTGGAGACCCTCTGGAGAGTGACTGGCCTGGGGCTCAGAGATTCAGAGATTCTCAGGCCGGCCGGGTCTGACCTCCCATGGAGCACAGGCCAGGGAACTGCCCCAAATCATTCCTGGCTGAACGGGGACAGATCTATTAGCGCAACGTCCCAGCGATGGCGAATCAGCCACAGCCCTGGGTGAGCTGTTCCAATGGTTAATTCCCCTCACTCTTAAAAACGTACCCCTTATTTCCAGTCTGAATTTGTCTGCTTCCAGCCACTGGGTCGTGCCAGACCTTCATCCGCTAAAGAGCCCAGTATTAATTATTTGTTCCCTATGGAGGTACGTACAGACTGGGATCAGCCCACCCCTTCACCTGCTCTTGGTTACGCTAAATAGCTTGAGCTCCTGGAGTCAATCACAAGGAGGCAGCAAATGCACTTTCACCCGAGGCGTGATCGGCCTTCGGAACTCCCCGCCACCAGAGGTTGTGGGGGCCAAGATTCAAAGAGGGACTGGATATTTCAGTGGCTGAAACTAGCCCGAGTTGATGACACAGCCTCCTGCTGCAGGGCTTCAGGGGGTCCCTGTTAGAGACCCAGTTGAGACGTATAGCGCGGGGGCGGAGGGGTGTGTATGTCTCACATTGTCCTTTGCTGGAGACTGGGTTAGATGGGCCTCGGTTGTGAGCCAGCCTGGCATTGAGAGAGGAATCCCACTGCAGTGCACATGTCTTGCCTGAGTAATTCTGGTGTGTCCCACCATTTTGGGTCTTTGCCATGAACTGCAGCAAGCTGAGGTGGCCACGAGGGGAGGATCCAGCACTCGGGGCTGTGAGGGGATGGGGCCGGTGAGTTGGAGGGGCCACAGTGACTTATTAAAGCCATTGGTCCATGGACAGGGGGCTTTGTGTGGCGAGGGGGCCCACGCCGTACATTTCTGCTCCCTGACTAATCTGCTAATCTGTTGAAATGTACAGCTCATTACAGGCCTCATGAGCATTCCTGGACCATGTACTTCTCAGTAATAATTAACAACCTCTTCCCCCGTCCCTGCCCAATCTGGAGCTGAGATCAAAGAGCTGAGACTAAGAGACGAGCAAAAACACAACTGGGGATGAGGCCCCACCAGTCCTTCCACTGTGAGATGGGACCCTCCTGGGGTGGCATAGAGGGAGCTATAAGGGGGAGAAGGGACAGAGATGTCATGGGAATGGTGGGACAGGGACAGCCCCATCCTAGAGCCCAGCGGTTTGGGTTCTAGGTACATCAATCATGCCAGTGACTTGGGTTCTAGGCATGTCAATCACATGAGGTAGTTGGTTCTAGGACCCAGCTCCACAAAGGGACTTAGGCATCATGGTGCTCAGCATGGGAAGACCTAATGTTTAGGTGCTGAGGAAATCACTGGACCAACACTGGGATCCAGAAAGCCTGAGCTAGGCACCAGGCTCCCTATAAAATGAATGGATGCTAGGTGTGCTAGGCGGGGAGCCAGCTGAGCCAGACAATGGGAGATGGGGGGTCCCAAGTCCCACCCCCTCATGGAGTTCGCCCCCTCAGTCCAAGCTGCAGAGAGGCGCCTCGCTCTGCCAGTGACCCAGAGCTGGGAACCCCTCTCCTTCGGTGCCTGCATTGTTCCTTGTGAGAATGAGTTGAGCGCCTGCCTCGCGCCACACAAAACAGCCACAGGAGGAGGTGCCCAGCTTACAACTTCCAGCCCAGTGCTTAGAGCACTCAGCCTGGGATGTGGAAGCTCCTGGTTCAATTCCCCCCGCTGCGTGAAGAGAAGCCACAGAGCGATAATAGAATAGTTGGACATGGGGGCTCCCTTGGTCTCTCCTGGTACAGCTCCTCCTCCACGGTGACTTTAAAGAACAAGAGTCCCTGGGCCAGAGAGAGAGGAGGCCAGAGCTTGAGAAGGACTCTGTGGGCTGGTAGTTGGGACAACCAGCTGGGAGGTGGGAGACCCCTGGGGCCAGTCCCCCAGCTGCAACCACTCCTTCACTGAGCCACCGCAGACCAGCTCTACCAGGAGGGACTGAGGGGGTCATGCTGGGGCTTAGGTGCGAGACAGGTGCCCAGACGCCCAGAAGCAGGCAGCAGCTCACGTGCCCCGAGGCAGAAATTCGGGCGAGTATGAAACTTCTACTGCAATGACTTAGGTGTTGGGTGAGAGCCGAGCGAGTGTTTTGTGGATCTCAGGGGACTTGGGCACCTAAGTCCTCTGTGGATGTGGGCCTCAGCCACAGGCCGTTCTGAGCCCTGCTGTTCTGGGCTGTATGGGCTTCCCGGGCTGCAGCTCAGGTTCTGGGGTCAGATTTCCGAGGTTGAGCCCTGGGTTTTGGTTCTGGGATCTGCCAGCAACAGGGATATGCTAGGATCGAGATGGAAATTCAAGTTTCAGAGTCTGAGTTCCTGGGTAGTGATGCTTGATTCTGGGATGGATGGATGGATAAGTGTGTGGGGGCGTCTGGAGATTGATGGCTAGAGGGGTGTGTATGGGGATAGGTAGCTGTGTGTCTATAGGGATAGACAGCTGGATATAGGGGTGTGTATGGAGATAGGTAAATGTGTGTGTACGGGGATAAACAGCTGGCTAGAGGGGTGTGTATGGGGATGGATAGAGGGGTGAGTAGTGGGATGGATGGGTGGACAGAAGGGTATGTATGGGGATGGATAGAGGGGTGAGTAGTGGGATGGATGGGTGGATACAGTGGTGTGTAGATGGATAAAGAGAGGGCTGTGTTTGGGACTGAATGGATAGAAGGTTGGGTATCAGGATGGCTACATAGGTAGGGAGGTGTGTATGGAGACAGATAAAGGGATAGACAGGGGGTGTATATGGGGAATGAAGGATGGGGGATAGAGAGCAGGGTGTATGTGGGGATGGGTGGATGGATGGATAGATAGCAGGGT